CCATATTCACTTCCAAACCCTACTCTGTAAACTCTTCTAATAGTTTTCGCATCATGTAACTAAGGTCTTCAGAGTCCTGTGAGATGATGACCTGGTCATCCGCAAAGCACAGAGTGTACACAGTTAAGTTCATTAGTGGTATTCCCATATTCGTACATTTTTTCTTCCATTTGTTGAGTGCTGCTTTGAGGTATATTTTGAATAATGTTGGGGATATACAGCATCCTTGTCTTAGTCCTTTAGTCACTTTGAATCCCGGTGTTATCAGATTTCCTGTTTTAATTCTTGTTGTTTGTTGGTAGTACAAATGGACATTTTACCATTACAGCCTGTAACATTTTTTTTTATTATTAATATATTAAATATTTCTAATTCCTTTTACCCCCGTGCGATACGCCTATGATCGTGTATCGATAGCAAAATATTGTAGATACCCAGCTAAAATGGAATTCCCTAATTAGGAATGGTTTTTAATCCTTCCGTCATAATATTCATTATGAAAAGAGTATAATGCGTTTTGGTATGCAGTTTCCTTTTCATAAATTGGTAATTTTCGTCGAAGGCCCGTTTCTTTTGACAATAACTTAATCCCAAGTATTGTCTGTTTCTTATGTCCAATTGTTAATACCGATTATTTTACCTCAAAGTTTCCAATAGTCGTTAAGGCCTTACCTTCTGAGAAACACATACAACTGTCCTATCATTCTTGAGTGGGGGAATATTTTCTTCTTCCTTTTTCAGGGACAGTTGGTGAAATTTTGAGTGGAACCAAGACTTGTTGGTGGGCCGTTGTTGAGTTAAGGCCAATATCTCGTGTTACGCTTTGCTCACTTTATTTCTTATCGTATCGTCTTTATGAATTATTTTCTAAGTGTGTATACACTTTATATTTGAGTTTTCTTTCGTTAGACTATATTAAATTATTTATAGTTCTACACTACCTTTAATGGTTATTAAATTCAGTGTTTAGTACCAGAAAAGTATTAAATTCAGTGAATTAAGCTGCCTTCGTCAAGATCTACTGTAAGTAATTTTATCTACAATTATCTGGGCGAGTAATATGGTATGGTACCATATCACCTGCCATTATCTGGACGTATCATCTATATCTTCACCTGAAGATTGCCGATTTTTGAATGTAATTGAACCATTCAAGAAATTTCTATAAATATTACCTATGAACATACAAGTCTCAGTTTTTTATTAAATAATACTGCGAAATAGTTAATTGACTTAGCCAAGTGCGGTTTGGTTTATGTTTTCATTTCTGTAACCTTTTTGTATTTTTTTGTAAATTTAGAGTTAAGTAATTTTTGATATCTTTTGTATTTCCTATAATTTTTGTTCATTATCTTTCCTATAATATCTCGAGATACGCCAAACTATATTTGTATATGATCGCCTTATAATATCTTGGTAAAGGTATTTTTTTATTATATTATTGCTTAATTTTATACATATATAACACCATTTCATAGTTGTGTATTTTTATTACCTGGGTTGCATTTAGCAGCATCATAATTTTGTGTTGAATATATTGTTATTGTTTTATGCATGTATTTTATTTGTCGGCTCCTAACAAGTTTCCTGATAAAATAATAGCTCTGAACAATTACTATCTTTAAATATTACTATGCTTTTGACCAGTAGAAAGATCAGGCTGATTAAGTTTCGTAGGTAAGTAAGTGTAATACTTAATATATTTATTATTTGTTTATATATTGCGTCGACCACATTTATTTGATAATTTACTGTTGGTATCTTTCCTTGGGTTTGATCTCTGAACCTAAATATCTTTTCTTATCTCTTTTCTTTTCTAAGGTTTTCTTAATTTTCTCCTTAACCCCAAAAACATTGAGTGGCGCCCTGTTTCTATCTTCTCTTATCTTTGGTAATTTTACCCATCTATCTTTTTGTTTATTTCTGTATCTTTTCTAATATCTCTTATCCTATCTTTACCTATTTCTTCCGTTGGATCCATTCCCGGTTCCAAAAGCTAGTTTCGAACCCACGACTCGCTCTCCACCAACCATCTGGCTGCCGTCCGCAGTGTCTCCATTGGTTATCTTTCTAGCACCACCCAAAAAAGATTTCCGAGGTTACAAGCCATATATATAAATCAGTGTATAAACTCTCTTAAACACTCAACGCTGACTCAACGTCACTGAACTCAGAGTCTTTAGGTAAGAAGCTGTGTCCGGATAGTACAAATCTTGGGATAATTTTTGGGAAACATATTTTTGGAAAGAATTTATCTGTTCCATGTTTTTGCAATCTAGTCATCTGCACATTTATTTTTCCCACCACTCTTCGTTCCCCTATCGTTAACAATTTCCATATTTTTAAATGTTTTTTTTTAAGAGGAACGTGTATTGGGTTATGGTGCGAAGGAGTTATATTATTTAAGAGTAAAAGTGGATGAGAATGAACATGTACAACATGAACTAGATTCCAGGATATCAAACGGGAACCAAAAATATAGAACACGAGTTTATCATTTAATAGAGGTTTAATGTTATCATAGTATGTATCACGAATGTTAAACCTGGGTTTCACTGTTTTTAACTACAAGAAAATTATTTTTTCATATTTAGATTGCATTTTTTTTATAAATTTAAAGGAAAACAATTTTGACCTAGGATTCTTTGACACGGAGTTAGTGCCTTTTTTTAATTGATAGCAGCTTTGTTTATAACAATTACGATATCTTATTAAGGCCATCTGAAAGAAAATGCTTTAAAGATTTAATGTGCAATATTCAGAAAAGATTGCATTGTAATGTAATCGTTCACCAAAGTTCAAAAATGTGGTCTACAAGATCGGCCGGCTTTGAAACTCGTGAGAGCATTGGACTGGAAGGAGCTGTTAACTGTATCGCTGGTTCTAGTTTATGAATTTCGACGTTTCTTTTTTTAATTTGTATGTACTTTTTGTGCGCATTACGATTATGTACTATTTATATTTAATAAAAAAAGTGGTTTTGAAGTGAAAAAAGCAATTTTTTATAATTTGAAGTGAAGTTTTGAAGTGAAAAAAGCAATTTTTTATAATTTGTTTAAAAATTGTTATATACAAATAGGTTGCCATGGAAAATTTTCCGTAAACTTTTCAGCATAGCATATATTGGCATCATAATAATATTGATTAATACAAGTTTCAGCATGTGGGTATAAAATCGACCCTTTTCTACAAGAGTCACCCGCTTAGCATATTTAACAAGAAATAAAACCTATTTTATTTGGAATTATTTACTTCCAAAGGATTACATAAACTAATATTATTTTTAAAAATAATTGAATGGGATAATTCGTTTTTTTCTTCATAAAATCTGTTACAAATAAATTATTTAAGTTTTATTTATTAAGTTTATTGAAGAATTATATTATATTATTATTTAATCATAAAAATTTATATTTTACGATACCTCAATAATTTCTAAAAAAAACTAAGAAACTGAATTATAATTTTTTAAACAAATTAGATGGTTTATTTAATAATTTAATTATTTAAATAATACATATTCGTAATATGTGCAAAAAGTACATACAAAATAAAAAAAGAAACGTCGAGATCCATAAACAAGAAACACAGATATAGCTTACAGCTCCTTTCCCCTCCGCTCCACCCACTAGTTTTGAGATTTTGATTTTAAGCACCACATTTTTGAAGCTTTGTGAACGATTCCATTAAAAAGCAGTCGTTTTCAAATTTTGCACACTAAAATTTTAAAGTATGTTCTTTCAGGTGACCCTAGTAAGTTCTCTTAATCGCTATAAACAAAGCTGCTAGCAATTTAAAAAAGGCACTTACCTTCGCCCCAAAGCATTTCAGGTCAACTTTTTTTCTTTTAAATTTGTAAAAAATACAGGCGTTCTAAATATGAAAAAATAATTTTCTTGTAGGCAATGGTTAAAAAGTAGTTATTGTAATTGTTTATAAGCAAACACTTGACATGTTTTTGAAAAATTATTTTGCAATATTTAAAATTAGTTTTCCTCATTTTTTTTTAATAATACTAATAGAAGAAATCTTTTTCTTTCAGGAGCTAGCCCTATATTTACTGTAACTAAATAATTTTCCGATTGATTTACAGGGAAAAAAATTGTTGCAAAAAAATTTAATTTGGGATAAACAAGTTAAATAACTTTTAAACTATTTGACCGACCGGCTTGAAATTTCGACCATATTTTAAGTACCACAAGACCAAACATTGTATCTAATATAAAGGTAATAAGTTGATGTTTAAAAAAGTTATTAACATTTATAAAAACCGTTTTGACTTATTTTACAACTTTCTAAGCAACAAATAAGGATAGGAACATGTATTATAGCAAACGACATTTCGAAGGTTTTTACGTGAATTATACGTTTCTTACTCTCAAATTTGTTTCAAATAGTTCACGTTTGGCTTATAGAAAAAGCGAAAATTTATTGTGTTTTGACCTTAATTTGTTAATAATTAAGTCCAAAAAAATTTACTGCAGGAAACATATAGGTTTTTGTTACAGAGGTCCATACTACTCAAAACAACTGTCGTTTGCTTGGCTGTCACAAACTGTGTACATTCTTTGCTTATTTCCCTGGCCTATTATCTATAAAACTTTGGCGTACGTGACTTTACAAACCCTTAATTTAAGTCCTTTGTCTCAGCTATATTTTATTGTACATTTACGTTATCTGCAACTATTTGCTGTTACAACAAATCAATATTTAATGCTTCAGATTTTCAATTACTTATCCATTTAGTTTAATATGATTATTGTATGCACAAACAAATTATATCATTGGTAATATAGACTCTACCGTATAAAATATCGAAAGAATAGATAAATCGTTTATTCATTGTATTCGGACCTTTGGTATTATATATTGTATTTAAGCAGGTATTCTACTTGTGGCTGTCGCTGTTATAAAAAGATTTGTTTACAACTTTTTTATTACTTCCAAATTTTGTTGGTGTCTACTTGTTTCGTGAATTCGTATTTAAATAATTTTAGTAACTCCTAGTTCTTTACTTTATAAGTATCGATTTAAGTGTTGTCTTGATAAAAAATGGTAAGTTTTATTTCGTTTTGTTAACATAATTGTGGTACCTACAAGCTGTATCAATGAAAGTACTTTACTAAAATTTAAGATGCTTTTATCGGTTGGTGAAAAGTTTTCATTAAAATCTACTTTTATTTTCATCTTAGTGTTACTTCTTTTTTTCTTTTTCCATTTATTGGCTTGCATACTCGTGCATCTGCCAGCGCATTTGGTAGTGTTGCAGCTCGTCTTGCTCTAAGCAATGCCGCAACACAAACAATTTATTTTCACAAACATTTCATTTCATTAAACAAACACAGTAAAGAACTTTGTTTTTACAGACTTTAACTAAATAATTACTTTTTTATAAGGATGTTTAACATAATTTGAAATAAACTTAATATTCTTTGCACAAACTATGAGTTCGGTGGCATGGCCGCCATGATATCCTCATGACGGCCAAGCCTCGAATCCTTAGTGTTACTTCTTCATTTCTGCAGTTCATTTCTTCTTATTTAAGCGAGATCTCCATTATTGGTGTTAGCAATCATCACATATTACGTTAGGTTCCTTAACCAAGCTATTCCTCTTCTTTTCACACTGCTTCTGTCTTTTATTTTGCAAGTTGTTGTATTTTTCTCCTATACAAAAAGATAACGACTTATATTTGAGATATTGCAGTCCCTTTACTTTTATTGTCCTTTCAACTTCTTTTTTTTTTCTCCATTCTTCTTAACACTTCAACGTTCATCTCGTGATCCACCCATGAGATCTTCAGGATCCTTATATACGTCAATATCTCAAAGGAGTTAAGTTTTCCCGTCGACTCTCCATTCGGCATGCACGATACAACTCTATAATATATTTATAGGTCATTATAATATGCACTATTTAGTTATTCTTCCATTTTTCCAAATCCAAATCCTAGATAAATCGGCTTCAAGATAATCCTTCCACCTTTTTCTGGGTGGGCGATGCTTGTGTGTTTTAAAAAAAATTTTTAATTTAATTTTCATAATGACTCACCACAAAATAATAAAATTGTACAATTTATCTTAATTTATGTTATATCTAGCGGAAACTAAATATTGAAATTATTCATTCCTTTCCTAATACATGAAGAGGGTAATTGTTTAAGGTTATCCTGTTTTACCACAAGTGATATATCATCCACCTAAGGAAAAACAAAGCACTTTGTTTTTTACCTTAGTAACTTTACTTGGGTATTACTTCCAATAAGATAAATCACGTGGCCTGTATATAAAATGTCATTTTTGTCCCAACTTTGGCTTTTGAAGAACCCATTCTCCCACAGAAAATTCAGGCGGAGGACCAAGAAATAGTTCCTCCTCGTCGTCTTCTTCTTCGAACAAAATCTTACGAAATCCACGAAATCGCTATTTTCAGACTCATCGTGTAGAGAGTTTTGATCGTCCTGGTCTTCATCAAATAAGTCTTGTAAGGTGCTTTTGCTGCACTTCACTGCTTGCTGCGATTCGCTTTTATTTTGCTGGAGGTAGTTTTCTGCTTTTTACGGTTTGTAATAGCAGATGTTCCAAAGATACTGGCAATCTGAAATACAGAATCATAAGGTTATGAGAGTGGCTCACTAAAATCCTACAAAGTCCATATTGTTTTAATACGATACTCACGAGTTTGCATCGAAGGTGGCAATATCTGTAACATCTTTAGAAGTTTCTTGACGGTGATCCGCTAAGAACTGCCATCGCCTTAAAGAAGAAACCTCGTAACGATTTTCGGGTACAATTTTATCATCAGTGAAAACATGCCTCCCTTCTTAAACACCTTTTTGATAATTTCTGGATTGATTGTTTTCCATATTTTCCCAATCAACGTAGAAACTGTCACTGCCACTTCACGAGTTCTTTGTTGTACATTTATTTTAAAGCTTTAAACACTGCCAAATCAAAGGGCTGGAGAATGTGATATATATGAGCCAGTAGTTTCAGTATGGTGATTCCTTCCGATCTCATCTAATTGACCAAATCTGCCGTGAGTTGCGTTGAATGTCCTTCGTAGATATCTATTATAGGCCGATCAGAACCAATCTTTTTTAAAAAGTACGCTTAAAATAATTGCGAAATACAATAGCTTCAATACAGCCATTTTTAGTAGCAACATAGGCAGTACCAGGGAAGGCAACATTTTCGTCGGCCATCCATTCATCCCAGATATTTTTGCCTTAAAAAACAAATCATGGAGGAATTTTTTCACCATTAGCGCTTGCTGTCATCACCACTGTAGTGTTCTTTCTTCAAGGTCCACTGGTGATTCTTGTTCATGGTGCCCTTTACTTGCCAACAACTTTTGTTTTAAAGGGGTCACTGGAAAATTCAGTTTTATCTATAGATGAAGTCTATAGATGAAGTTCTAGATTCTCTCACGTTTGTCAGCAAGCCCCAAAGATTGAATGGTCTCGCCCAATAACCTAAAATAATCTTTGACAACAAAAAGATTCATGGCCTTCTTCCTTGCAAACTCAACTATTTCTGGTTTCATTATTGAGATCCCATAATGTCTTCTTTTGAAATTTAAGAATAGTCTGCATGTGGTCTACCATCTTTAAATTGATTTTTTAGGTTGTCTCATTAGACGAAATGTTGGGTTAGTTCTAAAACTTCTTTACGGAACAAAACGAATCTACATTGATCCATCGGTAGATCGACCTTGTCCTGATCCCTTTGTATCTCTTCTACCACTCAACTCAATTGATCATGTAATATTGTCTTAGGGATATTGTATAAGCGCGATGCTCCCTTGACAGTGAAATTCTAATTTCTTACTTCCGTTAAGGCTCTGTTAAGGACTTCTGCTGAATATTGCGAACCCCACCATTTCTATCTTTCCGACGTAATTTCGGACCAGTTCTACCTGAGAATTAAAAATTTGTATTCAGTGTGCGCACCCTTTAATTACTAGCAAATTATAGGGAAAAAAAACATAAATGGTATCAAAACAGTTCAAATTTCTGCAATACTAACTGAAAATATTCAATAAAAATTCAGCTCTAGTGAGCGATACGAGATTGACAAGACTTAGAAACAAACCTTACTTGTTCTTTGTATGTATAACCTTAAACCAAAGAATATAGACGCTTATAAGCGTCTATATTCTTTGCTTAAACGGAACTACCAACAAAATACGTGTGCTATTATGTCACAGAACAAATAACAATTGTTTTCTGTTCTATGAAAATGTCGTTTAACTGTTTAACATGTATAGTGAATTATCAGATCTTGGATATTTCTTCCTTTCTAAAGCCATGTTATTGTAATAATGGTGCTATTCTATTTGTTTTCCAATCCAGAGGTAATTCTTTTGCTCTATTTATTTCATTAGCAGTTATTGGTTTATAACGTTTTTTAACTTTTCACTCATATATTTTTACATTTAAGCAGTGCTTTCGTCCTGCCCTGAAGATTTTCTATTTTTAATTAAAATTGTAGTTAATTTCTTTTAAATAAAGTAAATGTTAAAATTAACTTTTAATAGGTGTCGTTGTAGCGTCTAGTGCACATTATTTTTAAAATAATTGATAATACGGCAGTAAGATTTTGTTTCATTCAGAGCTTACCACAAGTTCGCTGTAAGGAGTCACAAACGAAATACGTATAAGCGAATGGTGGTACTCTGTATTAAAATTCAATCTTAACTGTCTTTCGTAAATATTAAAAATTTATTCTTAAAATTTTATTTTATATAATTTTTTAGATTTCAAGATCGATTCCATCTTTCCTTCTAATTTTTGCGTTGATCGCACTAGCAACTGCAGATTCAAGGCATTGGTACTACCAAAACGAAATAGACAATGCTGAAAACCAGATCAGTTATGGTGCAGATGGTCGTAAAGAATACTCTGTTACGGATTTGTTGAATTTATATGGACGTCTCAAATACGAAGATCCATATGCCAAGGATCATCTCAACCATCACCAGATGAGCTATGGTATGAAAAAAGTTAAAGACTACCTTAAAATGTTAGAAGCGTTTGGTGGAGATAGAGATGCTCTTCAAGAGTTTATAAATAGATATGATTTAGATCTTTAGACAAAAGGAAAATATTTTTGAGATTTGGAACATTTAATATATTTAACAATTAAAAGCAGTTTTTAAAGTTTTTATAGAAGTGGTAAAATTTTACATACAAAATTTCATTTGCCACTTGATGAATTATAATCACAATTAATAATATACTAACATATATATGAATATAAATTTCCTTTTATATACATGTAAAAATGTTAGTAAAGGAATAATTTAAATATATCATACAGGAATATTTAATATCTTTTTCTTTATTGTTTCAAGCCCGTGGGATTTACCCTTGTTTTATGTTTATTTCTCTTAGATTTTAGTTCTTTATTGACGTTTTCATTCTTCTTTTCCTGGTGTCGTACGCTATGCAGCGTATAGGCGTACATGCTGGTTGGATTAGTCTTTTGACTGTTGAACGATATTTAGAAGCTCTCTTTGGGCATTAAAACTAATTAGAACCTCTTCATTTGTAATATGGTCGATCCTTGGAATTTGAATTAAACTAGTTATTGGATCTAGTAAAAGTATTTCTAGCTATTTCTACTCGTGTTTTCAATTCTCCGTCGCGATCGCACTTACTATTTAAGGTAGCTACAAGATATTTAAATGTCTCAACTCAACGTCTATAAGTTGATTGTTTATTTTCAACTGTGCTTGTATATGGGATTGTCTGTTGAGACCATATCCCTCTTCCACTGTATTAAATTATTTACTAACTCTTGTAATTCTTCTATATTGTGTGCTATTATAGCTGTATCATCAGCATATATATGGAGGCCGATGATAATAGAGTATAAGTCGCTTAATTTCGTGAGCTTTTTAATACATTTAATACATCCTTTAGGATATTTTTATGTTTTTTTGCTGTGTCTACTATTTATTTCCACTCTCTCCAGTCTTGAATCTTTTCTCTACAGTTTGCAAATTTCATCTTTGTTATATCCTCTGGTGGTTGGTCTTTCCATCGTATTTTCGGTCTTTATCTTGGTCTGTTTATTATTGGTTTCCAGCTCGTTATCCTGCTAATTAGTACGTCTTCTTGTCTTCTTTTTATGTGTTCAAATCATCTCAGTCTTTGTACTTTAATAAATTTTACCATGTCTTCCCCTCCGGTTATATTTATTATTTCATGGTTCAACACTCTTCTATATTCTCAAAGGTCTGACTTTATTGGGCCATGTATTCTTCTCACAATTTTTCTTTTAAACGATTCTTAAATTTTCTTCATATTTTTTCTTTAAGACACATTACTTTCCCTCCTATTCCATCATCAGTTTAATTGCTGCTTTATATATTTTTGTCTTTGTTTTTTTGCCCAGGTTTTTGTCTTTAAGTAGTCGGTGATATTTCCAATACACCCCGTTCTCCGCTTTAATTCTTTCGCTTATTTCTACACTCCTTCCATTTTTGTCGCCCAGTAACACCCTTAAGTATTTAAAGTAATTGAGTCTCTGGAATTTATTGTCACCGATTTTTATTTCTGTTATTCTGTTTATATCGTTTCTTGTACTTATTTGGTATTTTGTTTTGTTCTTATTCATTAGTCCTCTGTTCTTTGTTTCTCTTACCAACGTTAGAAGTGTTTCTTTTAGCTTTTGTTTGTCACGTGCTACCAATGCTAGCTCGTCCGCGTATACTATGATTTGTGTTAAACTTTGAATAATTGTTTTTTTTTTTCAAAAAAAATTATTAAAATCCTTTATAAAAGTTATATAATTTAAAATCCCAATCGGGCTATATCACAACAACAAAACGTTTTCGGAATCCATATTCCATCATCAGTGTGTAGGTTTACATGTTTTGAGCCACTAAATAACTGGGTAAAAACCAGTTAAAGTTATAGGTTTAAGTTTAGTTTACATTATTTTATCTTATATATTAAGATGTTAAAGTTATCAGTGGATTTGATAACATGGCAACATACAACTCTATATGAAGTTGCTGGTCTTATAATCTTCCCTTCTCATATTCCCTTTTGAGACATTTTTTATTTTGCTGTGTAAGTTGACAAATATTATTTACATACATGTTTTTTGGGGATTTTAACACTCGAATAGACAACCAAGTAATACCTGGCATCAAACAAAAACATAACGAGAATGTTAAAAACGAAAAGGAAGAACTCATGATCAACTTCTGCACGAATAACGAACTAATAATAAACAACACATTTTTTGACCGCAAAGACCAACACAAATATACATGTAATGACACCCGTGGAAAAAGATCTATGATAGATTATATTATAACCAACAGAGGTATACATCCGTCTAGTATTATGTAAAATAAGAATAATCCTGAAATACTTCTCACCCAAGAGAGCGGCCCCAACACAAACAAAAATCAAAGTCGAAGGACTAAAAACGGAATCGACGGAATACTTATACATGAAAAGAAAATCAGAGAAGATCGCTGGGAATAAAATATTAGAAAACGATAACATGAAGCAAAGCTGAGAAAAACTTAAAAAATATATATAATTAACGCAGGAACAGAATCACTTGGAGAGAGGAAAGTAACGAACACTAACATATCAAATAAGAAAACACCATGGTTTAGAGAGGAAGTGAAGACAAAATGTGAAAAAAAGAAGAAAGCCTTCTTACAATACAGAACACAACAAATACAACAGGCATACAACCACTATAAACAAATCAGAATCAGAAATGAAACGAATACTTTAGTTAGACAAATAAAAAAGGAATACTGGCAGAGTTTCTCAAAACAGATGAAACACGATTTCTGAGGAACACAAAAAGAAATATGGAGAATGATCAGAGGACAAAGAAAAGAGATGAACGAACTAATGAAAACGAAACACATTCAGAAGGAAACATGGATAGACTACTTTTGATCCCTGTTTGCTAAAGGTGACGATGATGAACCACCAACACCAGAGGTGACGACAAACGAAGAAATAAATATTGAGGAGGAAGAGGTAAAGGAAGCGTTAAGGAAATTAAAAAATAGAAAATCACCAGGAGAGGACAGAATACCGAACGAACTCCTAAAGTACGGAGGACCAGATCTAAAAAAACCACTATTAAAACTAATTCAAAAAATAATAGAATAAAACAGACATTCTCAAGAATGGAGATCAAGCATCGTAATACCTCTCTTCAAAAAGGGAGACAAATCGGACCCGGAAAATTACAGAGGAATGAATTTATTAAACACAGCACTAAAATTAACAACCAAAGTGATAACAAATAAATGTAATGAAGTTATAACACTAGCAGAAGAATAACAAGATTTGAGGTTGGGAAGATCATGCACCGACGCTATATTTATAATGAGGCAAGTGCAAGAGAAATCATTAGAATACAACAAACCGGCATATTATTATATATGTTTCGTGGACCTTACAAAGGCATTTGACCGGGTCAAGTTAAAAGACGTTACCCACTTACTGTATGCAAGAGAGATACCTCTAGGAATAATCAAAGCGATCGAAAATATCTACCAAAACAACACAATAAAAGTAAAAGTAGAAGAAGAAATAACCGACCCTATTGAAGCTGCAATGAGATAAGACAGGGAGATTTCCTGAGTCCCCTATTGTTCAACCTGATTATGGACGAAATAATAAAAAAGTAAGAACTAAAAAAGGATACCAAATGGGTGAAAAACAACTTAAAATAATATGCTATGCAGACGACGAAATACTACGTTCTCAAAGTGAAGATGATTGACAACGAATGCTGCACCAATTTAATATAGCCGACAGAAAATTTAACACGTTAATTTCCCCAACAAAGAAAAAATGCATGGTTACAACAGCAAGTTTACTAAGATGTAAATTGGAGCTGAAAGGTCAGATAATTGAACAAGTGAAGGAGTTTAAATATCTAGGCATCACATTATCTAGCTATGGAAAGCTCGAAACCGAGGTGGAAGATCAAGTGAATAGTGCAAACAGAGCCGCAGGCTGCCTAAATAAAACAATATGGAAAAATAAAAATATCGGGAAAGAAACGAAAGGCAGAATTTATAAAACAGTCATCAGATCCATAATGACATACGGGGCAGAAACAAGACCTGACATAGAGAGGACAAAAAGGATGTTGGAAACAGCAGAGATGAAAACACTTGGAAAAATTGAAGGTAAGACACTATGGGACAGAGCTATAAGTACAGATATACGACGTAGATGCAAGGTGGAGAATATCAAAAACTGGGTAAGAAATAGAAGAGTATAATGAAACGATCATATAGACATATATGTTTAAAAGCAGAGGGGAGGGAATGCAGCCCTATCTCGCGTCGTTACTTATTTCTACTTGTTCTGTAGATACACCGTTGGGAATCCTTAATGCTGCCTTTTGATTCCAGTATACCTGTTGGATCATCCTCATATATTTTCCATCGAGACCAATCTCTCCTAACATATATATTTACACATCATGCTTTATTTGTCCAAAGCCTTTTGCTAATCGATAAAGCAAATGAAGACATCCCCTCTCTGGTCAAAGAATTTCTGCACCAATAAGCGCACACAAAAGGTGGTTCTCGTGTTCACAAACCGCTTTTGATACTAGACTGAGTATCTCCCATTCTTTCTGATTAATTACTTTTAAGTACGCTTTCAGTACGTGTCTCATTTACGTGGCTATTAGCTGATCATCTTCGCAGCGACTGGCGTTGTGCTTCTTTGGAACTACTACAAAAGTTGACTTCAACCAATCTGATGGTATTTTCCCACTATTTTATTATGTTAATAAAAAGTTTGTATAGGTGCTTAATATTGAAGAGTTTAACTATTTCTTCATTTACGTTGTCTAGATCTATATCTTTATTATTTTTTATACCTGAGATCGCATATACCACTTATGATTCTAATATTGGTGGTCCAGTTAAGTCTGTATGAGTATACAGTTTTATAAGCTTTATTATTTTTTGCAATATCCACAATTTCTTTTTTTATGACTTTATATGTATTACTTTGGACATGTTTTCCCTACCGTTCCTGTTCCCACTATCGTCGATAGAACGTTAGAAACTATAAGTTTTATACATAATAATCTGTTATTTCACTTAAAATCACAAATACTGAAAAATGGTTTCCTTTGGGATATTTTCTTCAACGATCTTCAAAATTATAATAAAATATTAGTAAATTTACTTCAATCGTTGCGCAAGATATATTTAATGATAACAAATTTGTATATTATAGCAGGACATTTGTATTGAATTAAACTATAATTACAGGACATAACGAACTAGAAAAAGGAGGTTTTTCGCAAGCTGACCAAAGTAAGTGTTTTGTATATTATTGTAACTTATTCTTTGCAAGTACTGTAAATTTCATTCCAATGACCCTAAGACACGTTAAAACCCTGGAGCTCTTGTATCACTCTCTTCCAAACTCTTCCATCCTTGATTGGCACAACCATCTTCTTACACTTAGCTACCGGAGATCATGTTCTACGTCATCTAACCACCTAATTCGTGAACTACCTTGTAGATGCATTTCTTTTCTCATTTACTGATATATTCTTATTATAAAATCTATCTTAGGAAATGCGTCAGAGTTACGAACCTTATTATATCTCTTTTCACTTGTGCTACAAGACTTGACAAGACAGCACAATAAAATCGTGAGATAATTTTCCTCTCCCAGAAATTTAGTTTTGCTTTCTCATTTCGTGGGATTTCGTTTGGCTTGACCGAATTAGCCGGCAACGTAACGCACCGCTATAGACGGGAATTAAATGCCGTAACCCGCATTTACCGACAAAATCACATCAGATCGGTCAATGGACTTACATATTTTAGGGAAAATGGATGCAAACGGAATTGGATGGATCCAGATAAATAAATAAACTTACAAAAAGGAGGCATAATAAACAGATGTATAAAATTTGTAAAAAGCTAAACACGGAAAGTAAATTTGTTACTTTATTTCCTGAATTAATTTTAATATCAAGACAAATTTTATCCATACTTAGGATTCTTATCTATTTCTAAAATCACACGAAACAAAATACAACATTTAGAAGCGCTATTCCGCCAGAATAACTTGCTTACCTAATATTTTCTGATATTTCCTTCCAACAGATATTTTTCCTTTTTTGTTTAAAATGGCTTTCACTAACATAGTCACCAAAATCATACAATTCCTTGTAATCACTAACGAGTATTACTAATTTTTCTTTGCCTATTGTAGGGCCCCTAGACAGCCAAGAATCCCTGACTGCGGCAGCCACTAGGGCGCGTTCGCTGCAAAGGAGTTCGCAGCAAAAACAAATGATGATTCTAAAGGGAAATGAATATGGCTGCCTTCAGTCTCCACGCACTTATCGTATCAGACAGGGGTATTCGTTTTTAAAAGAACTTTTGACAACGAAACAGTATTTCGGGAAGTTGAAAGCCGTCAGGAGATTTGGGATAAATCTTCTGAAGAATACAGTGATTGAGAGGGAATGGGAAGAAAATACTAATATAATGTGCGAAGCCAATTATTTACCACTCTTTTTTTATTTTGCATTTTTTACGAGACAAACGGTATGCATTATGGCCTCTTCCACATCCACATCACTTTAAAGAACGGCCATAACTGGCCGTCGAATAATTGCACATATATGTAGGCTGCCTAGTGCCTAGTTCGTATCGTTGTGATAGCACTCTCTAAGTCACCAGGTAACAGCTACATACTAACCGCGAAAATATTCTATTCCATGCGTTCCGTTCCCGGCCGGTTCGGTCAAGTGTACACATACCTTAATAAGAAAACTAACAGGTATTGTGTCGTAGACTTAGAGCATTGATTATAAACCACTACCTTAGAGAAGGGAATTTTACACGTCAACGTGTAAAATTCCCTACTCTATATCTGTTTTTATTCCATATATTCCATTTATTCCAATAAGGAGGGATTACTCAAATGTTAAACAGCGTAGTATTCTCTATTATCGTATATTCGCTATTTCATATAATATATCATATAATATAAATAACACACAGCTTTACTAACCATAGAATACACGATTCATTTTAGGCAATGCGCATTTTGATTTTTTACATTAGGGAACATTTCTCCCTTTATTATACTGTCCAAACATTTATATCTAACCAAGATTTCTAACTGTTGTGGGTTTTGTTATCTGCTTATAATAATTGTTTTTGTTATGTTAATTCTAGTACTAAGTTCTTCACAGCAGATATTCAAGTGTTCTATCAACTTTTGAAGTCCAATATCTGAGTCTGCATGCTTGATATTTTCTATAAATCTCGTAACATTTTTATCATATGTTGCTTAATATTTTCATTAAATAAGTGATGGATTCGACCGTTACTTGATGGAAATTCATTTTATATAACAATAAAACACTGAAAACCTTGGTTCAAAACTTCCACAAAATGTATAATAAAAAAGAAGTAATAGCACCATAAAAAAAGAAAGGAATAAAGGAAAGGAATGTCTTCCATAAAAAAGAAAGGAATAACACCAGCTTTTAGAACAAACAACAACTTAGGCAAATATATTAAAAACAACAAGAGCCAAAATAAAAAGCACTTACACAGTTATGTATACAAACTTAAATGTGGCGATTACTCAAAAACTTACATCGGTCAAACTAGTAGAATCTTTTACAAACGTATAGCAGAACATAAAAGGGCTTTCAATAATAGGAAAACAGATTCAACATACGCACTTCACATTCTAGATCATAATCATTCTTTTAATGACGAAATTCAAATTCTTCACATCAAAAATAAAGGCCTTAAGCGAACTTTATTAGAATCTATGGAAATTAACAAATTAAAAACACACCCATAATTCTGAATGACCAACTTGAGACAAACAGTTCTCCCCTCCTCAACTTATTTCGCTAAAGATTTTAAATTGTAAACACATCCAAAAATAGATCACTTGAGAAAGGCACTCGGCCGAAACAGCTGTAGTGATAAGATATTTTAATAAATTTTGTGAAAGTTTTATTGTTATATTTCCATTAAACTTTTATAAGAAAATCGATCGAAAGAAACTAATCTCCTAAAATGTCTGTGTGTCTCATGAAGGTTATTAGTTTGTATTTATCGCATAATATAGGATTCCTGCATTTAGTAATTTTTTCATCTACAAATTTAAATACTTCAGCATGCATTAAATCTGGATTGTTTTATTATAATTCTCTAACTCTCATAACAATATCATATGTCTGTCTGTAAATAATTTATGCACAGGGATGTTATATTTGTAACATTTTTCAAGTTGCGTATGGCGGATATCAGATCTGCCGTTGTAACTTTTTCCTCGGAAAAGTCACTGCGTAAATCATGGACGTATAAATAAAGATTTATACGTCCAGATCTACCATAAAGATCTTTATTTATACGTCCATGGCGTAAATAACCTTATCAGTATCTTGAAGAGTATATTTATTAGCGTATTTCTTTTATTACTATAACATTGCAACTGACAACCTGTTTTATAAATTATCATACCAGGCCTGAATAGTTAATTCTCCGTCAGACAACTAATTCTTCTGTTAGGAAGCTTTTAAAAATAAATGCAACCTTATGGTAAAACATAAGCATGAGCAATCTGGACGACATGTAGTCATAGTAAATGTTTCTTTCACTTACCATAGATAAGATATACCATAGATAGACCAAGATATTGTTATTAATTTGAAATATAGTTTCAGGAAACAGCATATTAAAAAAGATAGGATCTTATTCCGCAGATGAACCAAGTAAGTATTTTGTATAAACGTTTTAATACATTATATTTGATTGATTTCTTTTTTAATTAAATTAACGTTTCTCGTAACGAATGTTTGAATGGTCATTGACCCGATCACAATATAGCACAATATTACAAATAAAGTATTACATATTTTAACGTTACACTGTTAAATATATTTACACTCTGCATAATCAAAAAGAGAAAAATATAATACTTGGGTAATGTGTTGAGAGGTGAAAGATATTAATCATATTGGAAGGTAAAGTATAATTTAAAGAGATAGAAGATCTTCAGAACAAATACGACCTGTTCAACCTACATAAAAAGGTTGGCAGGGCTGCAAAAAAGAAACCACAACTCTTTTAGATAAAAATGGAAATACTATGATAACGACTGACGAAAAGCTGAAACGATGGAAAGAATATATGGAAGAGCTCTTTGACGACGTAAGAGAAAACCTATAAGACATCTTTCGAGGACAGAGAAACAAGTATAGAAATTACAAAGAAGAAATACTGTGTGCACTAAAGAGCACCAGAAACGAAAAAAGCCCGGGATCAGATCAACTGCATATTGATATCCCTAAAATAATAGAAAATGAGTACATGAATGTCCTCTCATTGCTATTTAATGAAATTTATTCGGGTGACATACTCTATGAATGGTTGACCTCAACATTTATTTGTCTCCCAAAAAAGAAAAATGCTAGAGAATACACTGACCACCGCACCATACGCCTGATGTCTCACACACTTAAAATGTTTTTAAAGATCATCCATAAACGCATTTCCAAATACTTGATATGGATATTGAAGAAACCCAATTTGCATTCAACGTACTAATCTAGAGATAGATGCTTGGATGTGAACCAAGATATGTACGTCTGTTTCATAGATTACAACAGGGCTTTCCATAAAGTCCGCCACAAAGAGCTAATGGACGTTCTCAAAGCAAAACAATTACAATACAATGACCTTCGAATTATAACAAATCTATATTATAAACAGCAGCAACACATACGTATTAATGAACGCACATCAGAAGAGTTGAAATTAAAAGAGGAGTATGACAGAGGTCGTGTATTGTCACCACTATTGAGGGAGAAACAGCAGGAAAAAAGGTCAATAGAACACCAATAAACAACATTAGATATGCGGATGATACTATCATAATAGCAGACAACCTTTAAAACTTTCAAAAGCGAATGAACAAGATAGTTAAGTATGGAGAAGAGTATGGATTATCAATAAACATAAAGAAAACTAAATTTATGAGGATATCAAAAACCCAAAATTATAATGAAAACCTGACAATTAACGGTAAAACTTTAGGACAAGTTGAAAACTGCAATTATCTTGGCACAATAATTAATCACACAAACGATTACTCCAAAGAAATCAAAGTTCGAATAAAGAAAGCACGAAGAAACTTCAATAAAATTAGAAAGGTACTTTGTGCAAGAGAACTGAAATTAGACTTGAGAGTTAGGCTGGCAAGGTGTTATATTTTCTCGACTCTGCTTTATGGGATAGGAGCATGGACACTTAACGCGTCGACCACTAAAAAGTTGGAAGAATTTGAACTATGGGTGTATAGAAGAATCCTGAAGATAACATGGACTGAGCATGTAACAAACAACGAAGTCATGAGAAGAGTCAACAAAAGAATGGAAATATTGGAAACCATCAAGACACGAAAGCAGCAATACTTAGGGAATGTTATGTGTAATGAAAGATACAACATACTTCAATTAATTATACAAGGGAAAATCCAGAGCAAGAAGTGTAGGAAGGAGAAGAATCTCAGGGTTACGTAACTTGAGGGGATGGTACTGATACACATCATTCGAACGATTCAGAGCGACATCATCTAAGATCAGAATAGCCATGATGATTGCCAATCTCCGTCGCGGAGATGGCACGTAAAGAAGGAGAAGAAAAGATCAGTTGGAAGACGCCAGAACACGTGGTTGAAAGACCTGATGAGATGGTTTGACCGCTCATCCACAGAAATCTTTCGTGCAGCAGTTTCCAAAGCTACATTTGCCATTTGGATCGCCAACCTTAGAAAGGAGACGGCGCAATAAGAAGAAGTTTATGAAGTATATGAATGTCCCTTGGACAAGATGTGTACAGTTAGTGGATTCACTTGATATTTTTCTACTTTTGCCTACCAACTGATATTATTTTCTTTTTATATAATAATTTTCACATTCCTTAAACATATGCCTGACAGGTAAGATAGTGTTGCAATGGTTGCATTCAGACGGATTAGTAGATATGTGAAATAGTATGTCCCATTCTCAGTTTTCTTAGGATATTGTTTTCTATATGGCTAACTATAGGTAGCTTTAAGGAAGATATAACCGGCTATATATCATGTGAGTGACTGGCGGATGAATTTTATATTTTAATGCTTGCCATTTTTGTATGTCATTATGCAGCTATATATTTGCCACATGTCCGAGGGAAAACTCATTGATGACTAAATCTGCAGTTTCGTTGCGTGCGAGTCGCATACGTGAAGGTACCCAGATAATAGTGACAATTTCTCAACGGCCGTTAAAAAAAAAGGTGGATAGTAGAAGACATCAAGGGAAAAGAAATTACTCATGAATGCAAAACCTGTCATCTGTAGAACTTTTTAAACAAGTCTCTAATACAAAAGAATCACTATGTTAATAGCCAACGTCAATATAAGACAATGACAATAGAATAAGAAGATTGCAACTCTAATTATTATACATGTTATTCCTTTCCTATTTTAATACTGAAAAAGCGCTAGGGTTTTTGCTATATAGCCAGTTCACTTATATTTGCTATAATGAATACTCTTTGGACTGCTTTTTGTCTTCTGTTCTTCTGATAGTTAATCACTTCTTCTACAACTTGACATTTAGCTTGACTGAATTTAGAACTTCAATATACTACTTTTTTACTTAGTCACGCAAATTACTTATTGGAGATTTTTGTTGCATCACGAATTAATTTACTACAATTTTAACTTCGTTAGCATACACAACATAGTTTTAAAATTTGTATTTTTTTTATTTCAGATAACCCCCCAGTAGGGAAAACACTTGTTAAGTGTTATGCGGATGGGTCCTACGATTGGCTGTAATTCGATTTGTAAATTTACTTACCAATGGGAAACCAGACCAAATAAAATTTTCATCGTTGTATTCCTAAAACGTTAGATTTTAAACCAGATTCGTAATTATAATTTATGAATAATTCTGGTAATTTCTACATAACCATTTTTCTGGGGACCCTGCAGACAATATATTAACGATAAATCGTGGAAATTATTGTATATTACAATAAAATCATTTTATATAGTTTCGACTATCGTAGTGTAATTCTAACTCTATAAACCATGTTTTGTAGTATGAATTAAATTAAATAATGTATACTTTTCTTTATATTAATCTGCTTTTCACATAATAAAAGACGATAATATAATTGTTTATTTATTTTTCGGAATTATTACGCCTTAGTTACAATTTTCGGGTAAAGACTATCTCAGGAAGAACACAATTCCATGTTAAGGGATTCGTAGGATCTAGGAATCTTCCACGTATATATAACGAGTCAAGGTATTGAGTTGGTGAATGCGTTTAAAAGAAGAAAAGTACAAACTTCTTGCATATAAAAGAGTATGCAAGTCTTTTGGATATACCTATATATTATTTGTAAGAACGGATATCAGGACAATGTAACAAGTGAAATTTGTACTTGCAATTTCGAAATAGCTTTTGATGCAGTACTATTTCAATGCTTAGACTCAGTTGGTACCGATATATATGACTTTAGATTGCTTAAAAGTCTTTACTTCAACCACACCGCATGTGTTAAGGAGGGTCAAGACTCAACATCTAAAGTTACAGGGATGCGTTTTGTCACCGATGTTGTTTAATGCCTACACTGAAATCCGTTTTTGAGATAGCGTTAAATCTTCTTCTTCAAGTGCCGTCTCCATCCATGGAGGTTAGCGGTTATGGTGGCAAACGTTTGTCTATCTTCAGCTGCTCTTAAGAGTTCCTCAAATCCAAGTCCTGTCCAGTTTCTGATAGTACGTAACCAGGACAATTTTTTTCTTCCAATTCCTCGCTTTCCTTCTATTTTGCCTTTTAGTATCAACTGAGGGATGTAGTATTTCTCGTTGCGCAACAAATGCCCTAAATAACTGGTTTTTCTTCTTTTGATTGTTCTCAATAGTTCTTTTTCTAAATTGAGTCAAGCTAGTACTTCTTCATTTGTTTTTCGTGCTGTCCAAGGAATTTTTAAAATTCTACGGTACACCCACATTTCAAATGCCTCGATTCTATTCAGGCTCTTTATTTTTAACGTCCACGTTTTGACTCCGTAGAGAAGAACAGACCAGATAAAACATTTTACAAGTTTTAATCTCAATTTAATATTTATATGTGTATCGCAGAATAGAACGCGCATCTTAAAGAAACTATCCCTAGCTTGAGCAATTCTCGCTTTAATTTCTTGTTCTGGGTCCAGCTTGCAATTAATCCAACAGCTAAGGTATTTGTATTGGTTTACCTGTTCTAAAATATTCCCATTTATTTTTATAGGTAAGGGGGTATTCTGTTTTCTTTGGATCACCATTACTTTTTTTTTTCGTTGATCTTCATTCCAAACTCTCGACAAGCATCCTTAAGGTGGTCTATAACCCCCTGCAAGTTTGTGTCTGTATCAGCCAGTAGGACAGTGTCATCTGCATATCTTATGCTAGATATTGGTTCTCCATTAATTTTTATTCCTGTGGAAAGGTTTTCCAAGGCTTGCTTGAATAGTAGTTCCGAGTAAAGATTGAACAGCATAGGGGATAGTATGCATCCTTGCCTTATTCCTTTATTTATACTAATATTTCTAGATGTATGATCGTCGATCCTAATCTTGGCACTCTGCCTCCAAGATAAGTTCTTAATTAATCGGAGATCTTTACTATCCAAGTTGATGCTCTGCAAGGAATTTAACATTTTATTATGGTTTACGCGATCAAATGCCTTTTCAAAGTCTTCAAAACATAGAAAGACATCCTTTTGTTGGTCGTAACACTTCTGCAGCAGTACTTGTAGTGAAAACAAGGCCTCTCTGGTCCCCATTCCGGCTCTGAATCCAAATTGATCGTATCCAACTTCTTTTTCACACCTTTTGTATACCCTATTGTGAAGTATTTTTAATAGAATTTTAAGCACTTGGCTCATAAGACTTATTAATCTAAAATCTGCGCATCGCCTGGAGTTAGCTTGTTTTGGAATGGGAATAAAAATAGATTCTAACCATTCCTCTGGTATTTCCCCAGTATCGTAGATTGTATTAAACAAAATTACTAACAAATCAATGTTATTACTTTCGATCAATTTAAGTATTTCAGGATAAACTTCATCAGGTCCAGGGCTTTTGTTGGTCTTTAATTGTTTAATGACATATTCCACTTCGACTTTTAGAATTGGTGGGCTTTCAGTAACATTATTTATTGTAATGTCTATTCTTTCATCTCGGAACAGCTGTTGCATAAATTTTGCCCATTCTTCTATTTTATCTTTGGTGTTATGAATTAACTCTCCGTTGTTATTTACCAGTGGGCAATGTTGTTTTTTGTGGATGAATGAAAATTCTTTCGCCTTCTTGTACATATTAAAGTAATCATGTCTATGTTCTAATTCTTCTATTTCTTTACATTTTTCTTCGAGTCATTTCTCTTTTGATTCTTTTATTTTCCTTCGTATTTCTGTATTTAATCGTTTGTAATCGATTGTGTTCTTATTTTTGTATTTCCTCCTTTCGTCTATCATCTTTAGAATAGCTGGTGTCATCCAGTCTTTTTTTGCCATTAATCGTGTATTTGGAATTTCTTCCCTATTTTAGATATTTATTTGGGTTCGGTCTATTTCTGAGAGTTTTTCATTTAGTTTTACAGTGGTTTTATCTTTAATCTGTACATCTTTTAGTAGTTCCATATTAGGTTTGTTCTTCGGCTTTGCATTTTTTATTACTTTAATTCTTGTGCGAATATTTGCTACTACAGGGTTGTGGTCGGAATTTGCATCAGCACTAGGATATGTTTCTGTACTTGTAATGGAGTTACGAAATCGTTGGTTGATTAAAACATAATCTATTTGATTTCTTATTATTCTTTCTTTTGTGTGTAGCGGGGAAGTCCAGGTGTATAACCTACGTTGAGGTAACTTAAAAAAAGTGTTTGTTGCTATCATATTGTGTTGCTGGCAAAACTCTAATAGTCTGTCTCCTCTTTCATTTCGTTCTCCTAGTCCGTATTCTCCTACGATATTTTGGAATTTCCCTCTTCCTATTTTAGCGTTAAAATCTCCTAGGACGATGTTAATATCTTCTTTGTCAATTTCATGAGCTTTTGTAGATCTTCATACCATTCTTCTAGTATGTCATCTGGCTTATCTGCGGTTGGTGCATAGACCTGAATAATATTCACATTAAAAGGAGAACTCCTTATTTGCAACAGCATTGCTCTGTCAGAGAGTGGTATAAAGTTTGAAACTGCGTTACTCAATTCATCGTTTATTATTACACCTACTCCATTGAAATGTTTTCGATCATTGTTGCCTGAATAATAGTGTTTTGTTCATAATTTTTTATATAGCGTTAAATAATCGTCACGAAAGTGTTACAAACGGGTGGTGAAATCTTAATATCATCAGATACGCATGGTGCCTGTCCGTTCCGAAGTTTGGCGATTATTCTGACCATAATGACTTTGTTGGTTGCTATACGAAATAGCTTTGTTGAGGTCTTTCTATACATGCTGTCAGGGTAGCAAGCTAGGATATTCGTCCTGGGGCCCTTTTTCCTTCAATTTTACCTTGCATTGCAGTAGCTCATATCTGTCTTGATTTCTCATTATCTGTCCCAAGTACTGCAGCTTACGGCCCTTCACGATGTTGACCAAATCCGTGGTTGCGTTTATCCTCCATAGTACTTCTTCATTGGTGACTTTGTCTGTCCATATTATCTTCAGGATCCTTCTGTATAACCATAGCTCAAAAGCCTGAAGTTTGGATAGAGTTTCTGAAACACTGAGTACACGTAACAATTAAGGAGTCTTATTTTTGTTTCTAGAGTAAAGTCATGGCTTTTGAACACAGAACTCATAGTCAAGAACGTACCTTTTGCCTTTCCCATGCGACATATAATCTCTTGGGGATTGTCACACGACTCATTGATTATAGTTCCCAATTAGTTCTACTGTAATACACGTTCAATTCTCATTTGGTTGACATACAAATTTGCTCCAGTTATGTTTTCCTTGCTGATTATCATTAGCTTAGTTTTGCTGGTGTTTATATCCAGTCCATATAATCTACTTGTTTCCGTTATTTTGTTTATTAATTTTTGCAGCCTTTCTATGGTATTGGAAAACACTTCATTTATTGAGATGCCGTCATCAATATCTTTTAGAGCCTCTTCAAAAATGTATTCCGAGTACAGTACACGATATCAGTGGTGAAATTACGCACCCCTGTCTCACTCCCCTTAAGATTTTGACCTGATCTGTATATTCTCTATCTGATCAAAAAACGAAAAAACCTTCTGGTACGTAAAAAGAAATCTGTTAACTACGTGCAGTACGAAAATCTAAACGTAGACAGTCACAACTTTTGTAAGCTGATATTTTGAAACAAGATTCGTGAGTACAATGATATGTTGTTTATTTATGGAGAAGCGTAGTGTAACAGTAATTTAGATGTCCTAATTTATATCGGGAATTTATGTATATTGGAATGTCAAAAAACGTTGTTTATAAAACATTTAGGGAACAACTTCTACATCCATACCACTATCAAAGAGTACAAGATTTACAAGGTGATCTTCCTCTAAAATTAACATTTTGTAGGCAGTTTCAAGTAACACACTCGTCAGAAAACCCGAATCCATCTAAAGTGGATGAAGCATGTTTCATGAGAAACGGTGTGTATAATTTTCATAATTGCCACATATGGGGGGGGGGACGAGAACCATTATTTAATACGTAGGATACATTTTCAACGAAAATTTAGCATAAATTTAAGGGCTGGAATAATTAACAATTGTTTGATAGGGACCATATGAATTACCCAGAATACTAAATCGAAAGGCCTACTATAATTTCTTACGCTATGATCCCTAGCACATTTTACCTGAACTGTTAAAAACCTTCTTGATATCACTTACCCTCGTCATTGGATCGGTAGGAATGGACTCATTCTGTGGCCACCACGAAGTCTCGAATGCAATGTACTGGATTTTTATTTTCGGGGACATCTGAAATCGTTAGTTTATGATAACCGAGATCAAACAGAAGCTAAATTACGGGACGAAATTTTGATGTTGCAGAAACTCAAGTAAATATAAGTATTTAATTTAATTTTAGTTCAAAATTAAACAAATTACTGATACTCCGAGTATAGTGAAAAATAAATTAGAATT